GAGTGTAGTCTAATAATCAATAAATCCTAATTCAGCCTAATGACTTTTCATTTTCCATGCAGTGACTGGTCCATCTTAGGCACTTAAATTGTACATTTGGCATTATTAAATATTGGAAACTCTTAATGTACATCTACAAAAAAACATACAAATCTAGTACAATATGAGAAACAAACCACCAGATTTAAATGACAAGATAAATAACAGTAGCCCAAAAAATAACAGCACAAGATCTACTTCTAGTAGAGTTCTAATGCAAAACATGTCAAACGTTATTGCATTCATAAGAAACATGCATGTGCACTGTATGTGTACTGAAATGTGTAGGTTCAATTCAATGCATTAGGAATCATAAACTAATGTCAATGACAACTTTTTTTGCAGCATTTATTAATCTCCAAACCAATATTAATTTACAAATATAAAACTCATATTATATTCAATGTTAACCCGTGTTCCTTCATATATATGTACAGTATAAAACAATGTTCATTTATACAACTTCAATTTATATAAAAAATCATTACAAATGCTGTAAAAGATTTGTTCATTGTTATTTCATGTTAGCTATTGCATTTATTTGTATAGAACCTTATTGTAAAGCTTTATCAAATTAATCAAATAATTAAAAATGTAATAAGGGAGAGATGAAAATAATTTCACCACTTTCTACAAGACATCAAAATAAAAAAAATTAGAAAAATATGATTTGCTTTTGAATATACATACTCTCAAAAACCCTCAAATACTCGTGCTAGATCCATACATTCCTGATTACCAACCACATCTTTTTTTGACATACAAAATCAAGTAAATTTGTACAATTTTGACAACTTGACCGTTTTTGGTTGTTGGCTCAGATCACTCACTCTGAGGCACTGAAATCGCTGGGCCTTTGGGATCATCAAAGCGGTCCATGGTGCGAACCTGCATGATCATGTGCAGACCGTAGGTAAGAATGAACACCATGAGCAGAGAGGTCAGCAGGCCCATCCAAATCCCTGGAGTGAAAAATCCAGCACAATCGCTGGCATACGAGAAGTCTTCACCAGTAACGTTGAAGCCTTGGATCTGTGGGAAACATGGTACATCAGCTGCAGTATGTGGAGTTTTTGTGGTATACTGTATATGGGTTTTGTAAATGAAGCTGAATCGTTTAACACTAACAGTTCAAAACAGCGCACTGTAATAGCACCTGAAAATCAGTGAAGGACAGCGTCCATTGGTTAGCGTTGTCCGTAGCACTGCGAGGCACCAGCAGGGGGCTCTGAATGCTGCTTACGCTCTGGCAATGGAAAGAATACTCTGCAGGAGAGTAGATCCCGCCACTGGCGTTAAAGATAGCCCTCTGCCCGTCATACTCCAGCACCACCTGCTCCATCACCGACCAGTTGCGAGCAGATACAGGAAAGAAGATCTTGCGCATAGAGAAGCTTTGGCGAAGTATCACAAATTAGGGGTGTGACAATATACTGTTACAATACATTATAATATATTGTTACAATACTTCACAATACAAAAATACAACAATATATAACATGCATACACCATTGGCCAAAGGTTTTAAATAATTAAATTTTTTTAAATGTTTTTGACAAGTGTCTTACACTGAGCAAAATTATAAACGCAACACTTTTGTTTTTACCCCCATTTTTTGAACTCAAAGATCTAAGACTTTTTCTGTACACAAAAGGCCTATTTATCTCAAATATTGTTCACAAATCTGTCTAAATGTGTGTTAGTGAGCACTTCTCCTTTGCCGAGATAATTCATCCACCTCACAGGTGTGGCATATCAAGATGCTGATTAGACAGCATGATTATTGCACAGGTGTGACTTAGGCTGGCCACAATAAAAGGCCACTCTAAAATGTGCAGTTTTATCACACAGCACAATGCCACAGATGTCGCAAGTTTTGAGGGAGCGTGCAATTTGCATGCTGACTGCTGGAATGTCCACCAGAGCTGTTGCCCGTGAATTGAATGTTCATTTCTCTACCATAAGCCGTCTCCAAAGGCGTTTCAGAAAATTTGGCAGTACATCCAACCGGCCTCACAACCGCAGACCACGTGTAACCACACTAGCCCAGGACCTCCACATCCAGCATCTTCACCTCCAAGATCGTCTGAGACCAGCCACCCGGACAGCTGCGGCAACAATCGGTTTGCATAACCAAAGAATTTCTGCACAAACTGTCAGAAACCGTCTCA